TTTAAGCATAACAGTGATCTGTGTGAAAGGTTTTTTTCCAAGAGTATGATACCTTTCAGAATGAAGTCTGTGGGCCACCTCTTGTGTCTCTGGCACAGATGTCAGAATCACTCTGCCTCTCTCTTGGATGGTAGTGTAGGGGCAAGATTGAAATAGTAAAGGGAAACATACAAGAAAGGTAGGCAGACCTGGATAGGCTGGAGATCCTGTGATTGTACTTTGCCAGAGGCAGCAAACTAGTGTTTGCTGCTGCCAAAAAAAGGTCATGGGTTCTTTATTACTATTCTCAGAGCCCTAATGGCCCAACTAAATCCGATATACAGTCAAGTCACATGAGGTTTTTATGCAGATGCAATGTACTTTGAATTTGAAAGCATTTTCCCTGTAACACTGAAAATTTCTTATAAGCTTAATGCAGAAATTGAGCATGAATTAAATAAACCTGTTTGATTTTGTCAGCTCTTTGAGGAAGCTGTTTAAAATACAGCTTTACTGTTAAATCATTGTACTGCTGATGTCTGCTTGGAGAATGATACCCATGGTCACATGTGCTCTTGTAACTGCTAGTGTGGTGGAAATCCTGCTTTTGTTCTAGCTATGTTTTCCCTTACATTCTACTGTAAGAGTTTCCAAACAAAGGTCTGTTGGCATAATGCAGGTTAGAAAAATCACCTATGTGTTTTAGTTTAACTGAGTCAGACTGACGGATATGAGTTGAAGAGGCGATGATTTGATGGCACGTTCAGGATAAAGAGCAACATTTAGCAAGGAAGAAATCAAAAACAGGTGAGGTGAAGGTGTTTGAGGTGCATGTTAGAGTACCTAGGAGAGGAACAGCTTGCCTGTTCTAGGGTTTTGGAGCTGGTTGTGGTGGATTGACTTTGACCCTTCTTGGACCTGGTTGTTAACTGAATGATGCTTATGCAGATGGTTCTTGGTCTTTTGCCTGTTGAATGATGCTCCTAAAGTACAATTCACTACTGATAACGGGGTTCATGACTGTTCCACTGGCCAGGTTGAGCAGAGTTGCAGTGGATCCTTCCATGGAACTTTGCAGAGTAGCTCAGATGTTAGTTTCACAGAGTATGATTAATGTGAAAGAGGTAGGAGAAGCAAAATGGATTAGCTGTAACAAGAATGCAGGCCAGGTTTATAAGGGAGAATACATGTTCAGCAATGGCATAGACAAGTTCTCTCTTGCACTTTCTGCACATAAGGTCTGCACGATAGATAATACCTCATGGCTTGCTGTGCGTGTCACAGTGTTCTAGAAATATATTTCTGCTGAAATGCTGAATGCCTAAAACACAGCTTTGGATGGCCTGCTCTTATGTGGGGGCTTGTGGGGTTGTTTTTTTGGAGTGCTGGGTGACCATTACTGCCTTTGATCCTAAAAACCTGGTTTAGACATTAGTGCAGTGGTTCTCAGGCTTCTTAGATTAGGGTTCCTGTAGTAGTTTGGCTCTTTCTTGGCGAAGGTCATGTTGCCTATGATCTTCCCTTCATCTTGGGTTTAATGTATAAACATTGCATGCCACATGTGGCTGACAGACTTCTTGGCAAAGGGAGATGAAAGTGGCTGGGAAAGGAATGCAAGAAAAGGAAAAAAGTCTTGATGGAGTTGTCTTAGAGGCACTTGTGTTCAGCTACTCTAGACCTGAATTTCCCTGTTTTGAAAATCACTGGTGTAATGTACTCAGCAGAGTGGCCACTGGTTCTGCTGAGATTGTGGGAACTAGGTCATATTTGGGGAAGGGGAACAGAGCACCAAAACCTGAGTCTCTCTTGCTTTAGGG